TTAATTAACATAAAATTATTCGTGTTAAAATATAAAGAACATAGATCATTTACTATTTGAGGATTATGTAAAGTAAATATAAATACAGGACAAAAATATGTTCTACATATAAAAAGCACGTATAAATTAAATAAATAAATATTTTATCTACAGGACATGGCCAGATTTTAATACATGTTTTGCGGACCACTTCCAATGCACCATGCAGTGGACTGCGAACCACCGGTTAAGAACCACTGGCTTAGTGTCATCAGATATACCAACGACCACTAAATTATTGACTAAAACTTTTTACAGAAGTTATAACTGGCATGGCCTTGGATCAGTCATTGAAATTATATTTAGTATAGTTGTCCGCGTGATTATGAAAACCTTTGTGCTTGATGTACCTCCCTTCAATAGTGGTTTGCACGCAGCTGTTGCACCCCAGACGCTTCCTGTCGCGACAAGTCCAGTTTATCGTGTTCTGGTAGCGATTGTTGATCCAGTATTTGTTGTCTTTAAATATTAACACCATGCTCCCCGTACGGTGTGACGGGAGATAAAAAATTTCTGAAATTAAACACTTTTTAATACATGTACTTAATAAGTAGTAGTAGTTTCTAACTACTTCTAACTTTACCAGCCAATACCTTGGGAATTTTTAGCGAGACTACCTCACTAACAAATTTTAAAGCACCATTTCTACTGTACTCTGTGCAGCCTGTCGTCTGGCTGTTTAACACACAGCTTTTCTTTCAATGGTACAATAATCATACTTATGAATACAAATTTTTTGTACCATACAAAGAATCGAGCCCGCGACACACAATCTTGGGACTAGATGGCGTTGTATAAATTGCCCAGGGATATTATTATTATATAAGTTGCATATATATATATATTTAATGAGTTAATGATATAAAAATGTAAATATGAAAATGTAATTATATAAAGTTTGAATAATTACGTAATCATAATGAGAGATTTAATTATATCCATTCACTACTTATTGTTGTTTCCTTTGTTTTAGATTTTTAACAAACTCGAATTATTAAAAATACTGCACCCACAGATTATAATACAAGTGTATGTTCCAACATTGACATTAGCAAAATCATCGGGAACCATACATAAAAAATATATATAATAAGGATAAAAAAAACAGCCAAATTTACCAGAATACTGTATTTCTAAAACGTCTCATAAAATTATACTGCCTACAAACTAGCAGGTCCCTACAGCAGAAACTTGCGTTCAGAAGACACGTTCCGTATAATATAATATTAATAAGTACATCACATGATCTCTCTATAAAAATTATGTCCATAAAAATAAAAACAACCTAATTAAATTTGCTGTCACTTTAAAATCTTCGCAAACATATCTTTCTCTCTTATATATCTACCGTCGTGACATTGACGTAAGCGTGGCGGATTGTGTATATGTCTGCCCCGGAATATTGAAATGTAGTCTCGTCCATCCAGTCCCTTATACGTGATGACATCCGCTCGACATCCATGAACATCTCTGGATGAACAGTACCACTGTTTCTTCCCATGTGCTTGATGATTCTTCATGTAGAATGTAAAACCGTTCAATATTAGCAGACCCGCGCCTGTCCTTCCTGGTATAAACTGCGCCGGAACTGATGAAAAAACACAAAATTAACCATACCTTGTGATTAAATTAATAAAACACAACACCTTGTTAAACAAATATATTTATTATCAACAATAATAATTGTGTATGCTGTTCTAAAATTATTTTATAGCATAAATTATATTAGAAAAGCATACACAGTAATATGAAGAATATAATTAAATGGCGGAATGGAATTTAGGATGTTGGATAGGTAAATAAATAGACAAGTCATTCCGCAGTTCTTTATTATGGGGTTAAGGTGGGTTGTTTTTATTTTATATTTATTTATTAATTTAATTAACAACAATATACAGATATCGACAATAAATAAAAAAAACATATTATACATAATATAAAAAATACTAAGTCATTAAATTCAAAAGTTCGATGTAATGGCACCATGGTTTTTTAAAGTTCATAAAAATAATTCAAAGGAAATCCAATTGATAGAGGCAGAAGTCTTTATGTAAATAAATACTATTCCATTTCTTTTATTAAATGTAACATTATATTATAAATAACTTCCAAATTTGCATCACAAAAATGTATCTTTATTTAACGTAAGAATGTAAAGTACATATGTACTTTTCCTGACCGTATTCCGTTCAAGTTTCTGAAAATTTGTAAAAGAAAGCCAATATTCTCCAGAATTGTATTGTTGATTTGATGTATTGGATTGTAAGTGGTTGGTTTTCTAATAAATAAATTACTTGTTACATAAAGATATGGCATGACTTTATCCACTGATCTTAAAAATAACTTATACCACACTTATTATTAAATAATAATTAAAAGTTGAACCTATTTAATAAGTTCATAATCATCATCATTTCAGCCATTTATTGTGCACTGATAACATTACTTCGTCTATTTTGATTATAATGCTCATATATCAAAATTAATAATGTTTAAAGTCAGTGTCATTAAACTTTAAAATATACATACACACAAACTGTAATAAAATGAAATTCATCAATCATCATTTAAATTTCATAGTAATAAGTTAATTCCTTTTATTTTATGTTAAAAGGATTATGAGTAGATGTGATTGTCAATTCAGCCATTTACCATTGCAGTACAAAAATATCATCATCAAGTGCATATATGTCATCATCATGAAATTCATCATCATTTCAGAATCCTATTTTGATGATGTCAGAAATTTTAATCGGCACACATCTGTTTTGTGGTATTTTGTGAAACTACGATCCTTATGAGTAGGCATCATCACTTCAACCATAATCTACTGATGAATTCCCTGGATATATATTTCTTATAAAAAATCAACTTAATTCATAATTAGTGATGTATTACTACATACACCATTATCTTCATCATGATCACCATCATCATCACGATCATCATGATCACCATCATCATCATCATCATCATCATCATTGCAACTTTAACAGTACCCATTGCTGTCTATAGAGAGGTTAGACTCTCAATATTGGCTGTTATATCTTATTATTTCTTAGTGTGTTAGGAGTCTATAGGAACCGTTTACCATCAGATGGACTGTATACTTGTTTGCCACCTGCATAGTATAAAAAAAATTATACTATACACCTCAATCTTACAATTAATTCACAATTGTGAATAACAAACATACAAATATTTGAAATTTTGCATACAACCAGTGCTGCCATAACATACACTTCTGCTCAGTGATCAAATCACCATACATTGTTACTTGTTATTTCGTTTGTAAATTAGAAACAAGTTAACTGTAACATTCACCAGAATAATTAATGAAATGACTGTAACTTTACCATCCGAGATTACAGTTGTATTCATTTATACGCACCACCTATATATGACCCTGGCATTGCCCATGTACTCATAATTTTATGAGTTATTAAATATATATATTAAAACAATATATATCCTATATTACTCTTCATTAATGCAGCCTTTTAATAGTGAAATACTTCTCAAATCCGACTATCCGATCACGTTGCTTATAAAATGCCATATCTGGCTTCCTAATATTGGTATAGATAAATACAGACATACAAACAGATAACAGAACAAACAAACAGAAGTGGGTCTTTTATTTATACCAGCAAATATCAGCATATCCAGTGTATAATTGAAGCCTACCTTTATATTGATAAAATTAAAATTCAACATACATAACAATACAAAAATTAGACCATAGGAAAATGACTGTGATAATAACAGCAAAATAAATATTATTAACAAAACTTAATGATAACCACCAAAATAATGGCAACTGTGGACAAACAAACCATCCAGATTGTAATAAGCTTTATTAGAGCTTATGGTCACGATAAAGAATTTTTTTTATCAGACTACTCTAATGCTGTTGGCCGCAGCTGGCTTTTACAGCTTCAGCGGATGATAGCGGGCAAGTGCAAATGGCACTCCAAGCCGCAGTAGGACTTATGGAGCACCTGAAGGCCAACTTTCGCCTGACGTATATGACTTTACTCTGATGGCACCACTAGGGATTCGAACCTCAGCTCGGCGGTCGTAATATCAATCCCCATTAGGATTGGATTGGGGATAGATCGAAGGGGAATTCTACTTAAATAATAAACTTAATAAGTATGATTACTTATCATATTGTTACATATATGCAACTATTTGCATGCCGGAACTATTTAATCATTTACCATTTGACGCTTGTCTACCAATGGAAGAAAATCAGCATCATTGCCGCATATAATAGTTTAAATTGATTGCCTTAGACATTAAAACCTCTCAAATTGATGGTATAAGGGAATTGAACTTTAATCTCAATTTCACAAACCAATCAACGAACACTATTCCAACAATCCTAAATTTCAGTGTGAAATATCTGGTATTATTGCAGATACTCAAAATATTGATATTATAAAATAAAATACACTGGTAACTGAAATAATTCTTAATATTATACATCTATTGGCAATCATCATCATTCCAGGATTAAGAACAACGTCAATCCACTGTTGAACTTAAAAATTCAGTTTATAACTACCTTAATAAATTCATGCCATATCTAGTGTATATTTATATGACTTTAATTTAACTTTCCATAGCTTTTAGCTTATATTATTATTACTTTATGAAAGCAGATCCACAAATGCTTGAAACATTATTGTATCATTGCAAGTACAATTTTGGAAGCATATTATTTAAATATATATAAATTATAACCCTTTCTATACTTTAATAATATGTATTAATATATATTTAGGTATAAAATTATAAGAATAGTATCAATTATTCATGCATTTATTGTAGACAACTGCCTCATCTCTCACAGTATGAAAATGAAAACATACATAAATGTACTCATGAAAAAACTATATTACAAATATTAACTTATTGGAAATCCTTCGTAATAAAACTTACTCGCTATTACTCACCAAACCGAAGCCAGGAACTGGGAATAGATGATTTTTAAAAGCGGGAACAAAAACTAACCTCAACACTTTCACTTCACAATGAAATTTACACTAAAACAACACTTATTGAAAACTTTAAGCCACACGTAGGAAGCTACACATTCGTATAATAGAATAATTCAAGAAATTCACGTGTTTTGAACACAATTTAAATAAATAACATTACAAACAATTTGACACAACAAGATATCGAGATAAAAAAAAGCACTGCTTCAAGACGTATTAAGCCGATTTATAGTACAAAACTATAATTATACGCGCGACTAACTCAATTTCGATGCATTTTGAAAAATCTAACAATTATCAAAGTAAAACAACAATAATTTATTTGGCATCGAAAGAGTTATTTTGACATTTACAAAGTACGTAAACCCTATTCCGAACTACGAAGAAACATTATCTCGAACAAGGTGAGAAGTTGAACGGTGATTCGTTTTTTTATATGAAAAGGACAAAAAGTTTGGGAATCATAGTGCATTAGTGAATAGTAATAATGAAATAGGTATACCAAATCAATTGGTGTACTTTTTATTCTTGTTTTTGTAAAACATATGATAGATTTTTTTATACTGAACGGAAAATATGCTAAATTATGCGTAACATAAGTTTTAAATTACAATTACACTGCATTGAATCAAATAAACATAAAACAATACGACATTAATTTATATACATTAAGTTGAAATTTTCAATAGGTGTCAATAACTATTTTAATTTACTCTGTTCTGTTATATTTAAATAAAAAAAAATTGTTTTATATATCAGTTATTTAATTAAATTTACAAGTTACTTTAGTTTCCTAGTTTAACTTTTGACATCATAGACATTATGCCTCAATAATATTTTGTTATTTTAGTGGTAATTATTCTAATGCTAACTTATCTTTTTAGGTACATAAATACATTTCAATGGGTTCGATTATTTCTGGAAAATTAACTTTATATCAGTGAGCGATTCTATTCCTTAGTCTTGGGTACGAGTGTGAAGGAGCCCTAACAAACGAGTCCATGTTTTGAAATTCTCCTCAAATGTTTAATGGGAATTAATATCGACAGATGGCGCTATTGTATTATAATCTGAATTATGAATATGGTGAATATTGTTCGTAGGAAATATCGATTAGTTAAAGCAATGTAAGTTTATTTATGCTGTGAAATTAGTTTATTTATTCACTCAATATAAGAAAGTTAGAAAAAAAAGTGGAGAATAGAGTTTGTTGTTATAATATAATATAAAGAAAATAGCTGATCCTATATTCATTTGAAGGTTTTAATTGTGTTTGTGGCGTGATTGACCATAAGTTAATAAAACTGTGTAAAAAGTAAACTGTAATATTTATATTATTTATTCAATTTATCTACAGTGTTTTATTTCAATCTAAAATGTTTAAGTTCTATTAAGTTTAGTGTAATAAGACAATACGTGCTGCACCCACTATTTGAGAAAATATGATTTGGACGCAATGATTACTTAGTATTTATTATGTACATTTACCTATTTACAAGGTTGGATTAGTAATAATGCTTAAACTTATTACTGTAAAATTCAAAAAGAGCGCCATCTGTTATAATATCTATTAACTATTAAATTCTGTCTAGTTGCTTTAGTTTCAAAGATATTTTTAGAGCATAAAATAATATAAAATACCTTTACTTACATTTCCTGCTCCCTATTGAAATCAAGAGACACAAATTTCTGATACGATAATTAGTAATTACATTCTCTGTATAGATGGCGCTTTGTAGTAATAGTTTAATCATTATGGAATGCTTAAGAAAATTTATTTTATTTATATTTTTGTAAATATTTGTGTCTCTTAATTCTATAAATGTGTAACACAATATTACTTGCAGGCAAAAAGTCGACTCCACGCACTGTTTCCAGTCGGTCACCCATCCAAATTTTGACGGCTCATCTCATCCGATCGCCGAAGTTTTTGCTTAACTTTGGTGATCGGATGAGAACCGGTATTATTTTTTTCAAACTACGATATTCATTTATTTATTCTTTATTGAACTTCTAAAAGTGTACAATAGGTGTGCATATGGCATTAAATATATATTTTTTTACTAGCTAACCATTGGATGAGAACATAAAGCAGTTGAAAGGTAGCGGTTAAAAGGATAAACCTGTAATTTTAGCTAAGTACTGGATTTGTAGGTATACATATGAGTATATTTTATAAAAACGTTTTTTTATATACAAATATAGTACGTATATAGAAAATAGCCAAATAAGATACACAAACTCTTAACATCAAATGTTACTATTGTATAGGAATCGAACTTGCGGCTAACGGAAAGTCCCACATTCTTCTAAACCTTTATCAGTTGGTCTCATTATTGTCAGATATAAACTAACTTTTTGTAATTATCACAGGATTTCTGTTTGGCTTTTCTATTACGCATGCAGGTATAGCAAATGTAGTTTCTATTTATATCAAACGAAAATACTGTATTAGTACTTTTCCATTAAAAGCGTACCAGTAAAGTTGTCTAATCCCACCCAATATCGAGTTCCACACGATACGACCCCAATCGGAATGGTAAATTTCAAAGCTAACTAATGCCACAGATATTTGAAAATACCTTACTGGAAGGTACTTACATTTCAATATTAATTACATGTAATCTACATTTTTTATTGCTATTTTATTTATCATTTACTAGCTGTTCCCGCGACTTCGTCAAGTGTTATGGTGATCTTGATCAAATAAAGAAATAAATTCTAACACAAACAACACAAAGAAAATAATTTCACAAATTTCCATACAAACTTACATCTCCTATTTTACCACCCTCACGCCAGAGCTTTAGTCATGGGTACCTACTAGACAAGTGATACAAATGCATAGATATATATATTTTATAAATAGAAACAATATTATACATAGAAAATATTATACATCCAAGGTACTAGGATCCATATCGCACGGTACAAACCATTTACATATTTGTTGTGCGCGGAATCAAACCCACGAACTTTATAAATAAGGCGGTGTGCTGAACCGCTAGACCACCGAACCCATAAATGCGAAACCTTATCTAAATTATAAATAAAATCAAATCTTTAGAGCCGTTTCCGAGATACATTAAACATATATACAAACATTGCTCGTTTAAAGTAATTGTATATTACCTGTACATTATCGGTACGAGCCGAGAAGGTAAAATATAACGAATATATGTGACATACAGAAGTACTGCGGAGTTTGCGGCACTTTGCGATTCCCATTTGTGCTGTAAGAAAGCTACGGATGAAAGATGGCGCCCGGCCGACCTGTATTTATTGTACCCTTTTGATAAATGAGGGTAATTTCAGCAATTTCGAAATAAATACACTTTTGTTATTTTTAGATGAATTTATAAGATGACAGCAAAATAAAGATAGGTACTGTGTCATGTTTTTCTTCTATATTTTCGTAGTAACATTGTACCTTTTCAACCCTTGGAAAAAGGTATTTTGAAGGGTCATTTTGTGTTCTTCTTTTATCTGTTTCTGGAAAGCTAGAAATGAAATGAAATCAAATTAATTTTGCAACAAACAAAGGTCTATATCAGTTGTAATTGTAAAATATGTATGTGTAATGTTTTGCCTGATTAAAATAAAATTTATATAAAAATTAATTAATTTATGAAATATCTAAATTGTGTATTTTAAGATCGAAATAAATTTAATTAGTTGCAAATTAAAGTATTTATCAATTTAATAGTTGGCAAGAACATAAAAAGTAGGTATGTAATCTCAGATAGTGTAGTCATATGTCTTTTCTATTATATTGTCTAACAAACCGTAGTTTTGGATTTAGATGTAGTTTCATAACTAATTTAAATACTAACATTACTATAATATTAATTTTGTGATTTGTTATTGTATCATATAACTTAATTTTTTTAGTAAGTAAGTAGTAAATTATATAAATGACGTAGTGGAGTAACTTGAAACAGTCATGCTCGCTATAAAGTTCAAACTTGTGGCGGCGTGGTGGGCCGGGTCGAGGTGCTCCCTCTAATATGGTAGAGTGCAATGATGGCTGGCACATCCGTCATACTCGTGAACAGCTGCTGCTTGTGTGACTGGTCTGTTCAGGTTGCGAACACTGATTAGATTTTTTAAATTTTTTTATATAGCATACGCGGGTGGTCATTCTATTCTCCCAAATTTTAATTTAAATGAAATAGTATTATTGTAAATATGTACAACATTAAGAAAAAAATACGAGCTGAGTTTCTTGTCAGTTCTTCTCATCTCGAAATCATTCCGAATTGACGGTAGATTTGACATATCATAAGAGTCTGTAATAGACCTACATGAATATAGATATTTTGAATTTAGAAGAAAAGATGTCACTAAAATATTACACATTTACAACACATTCATAACAACAATAATGGCCGTGACCAGAAAATTACTAAATATAATTCTTAAAATACTACACTACAGCACTAAATTAGGGCTATAAAGGCTATATTATCTAGCTATGTTCAACAGTATTAGAGGAGTCCGAAAAATGCTGCTAATTTTTTTTTTGTTTTTCTTTTTGTCCTTATCAGAAAGGCAAAGAGTCTAAGCCCATACAGCTGTCTCTTTGTCTTTCTCTCAGCTGGCTGTGTCTTTCCTATAAGGATATGAATACTGTAACAGAAGTTTTGTCATTTCATCTGTACTAAAACCTCTCGAATTTATAACAGACGCTTCTAGCGATTTCAATCCCGCTACAATAAAAGCAAATACCTCCTGGATTTGATTAGAGGGAATATTTCTCTCTGCCCGAGTCTCCGATAATGTTTATTTAAGTTTGTTTGTTTATCACTTTGTATAAATCTATTCCGTGCACCCCAATTATCAAATAAATTAATGTTAAATTCTAAACAGTTATTAATAAAATAAAATTAGTACTAACAAAAATTCTTTTAAAGTATATAATTATTATTAAAGTAATACAATACCTATTAAATAATAAATCAAAGTAAAAATAGTCAAATCTGTCATAATTTTATATCAGTATCTATACTGTCCTGTTTGGTTAGCTACTCGTACTTCGATTGAGAAGACTTGACAAGAAATTCATCTGCTAAATTTCTTTTCATTATTTTCGGTCTATACCTGGTCATTGTCTTTTAAGAATTATGACAGCTGTTTTGGTCATTAAATATTTGATTACTTGCTCATCGTTCCTTTTATAAAATTATATACTGTTTTGTTGTATTTTCTCTATGCTTTTGGTTGTCTGGAGATTGCTTTTAGCGATAAGACCGCCTTTGTACATATAGATATATTTAATTTTATATTTATAATTCTTATGTATTATTTTGCCATCTTGCAATAAAGAGTTTTTAAACAAATATGTAGTTTTAGTTATATTTAGTTATCAGTTTACTCCAGTCGACTTCGTCCGCGTAAAATATGATGAAAATAAATTGAGCAAATAATAAAAAATATATATTAATAATCTAACCCAATAAAAAAGTTTCATCGTTCTAGCTTCAAAAATGAAATTTCCATACATAATTCCATACAATTCAATCAACAGCCAAAAACTAAGTTTCAAACTACTATCTTTAAAATGAAGATACTTCCATACATACCATACATACATTACATCTCTCCTTTCAACCCCTTATAACCCTTTTTCTTGTTTTTTTTAATGCTACTTATATTAGTGTCATCATGTACCAATGATAAGATGTCGCTATACTGTAACCATTTATGGCTGAGTCCTGTGGCGGTAGGTACTGATATTTTCTAAACAGTCCTAAAAAATGGGTTTCGAAAAGATATATCTAGCTTTAAAAAATGACAATACATGGATTCAACATTTTAACTCCCGAAATTTTGACCCATTTTCGTTAATTATATTTAATCAATACGCAAAAAAATAAGAATGAAGTTTAAACTTTTAAAAAATTCCTCATTTTCAGTCTCTTATAACCCTTTTTAGCATTAAAAAGTAACCTATGTCCTATCTCAAGATCTAGACTTTAAATTTCATTTAAATCAGTTCAGAAGTTTTGGATTTTAAGACAGACAGACAGAGTCACTTTCACTTTCATAATATTAGTAAGGTATTTATTAAATAAACTGATATAAAAAGCGTAAGAGAAAAAGCTTCATCGTTCTAGCTAGTTAGAATTTCCATAAAAACTTTTATCTGCTATTTTATTATACCCCTTGAATGTTGACAATATGATATTTACAAATTTAAATGTCATATTTATTTATATTTAATAAACAGTTTAAACATTTCTTTAAATTCTTTTGAAAATTGGTGGTCCAGTTGGCCAATAACATAATAAAATTTTGTTAAATCAAAATAATAGATGTGATATTCTAAATTGCAAACTATCCCTCTACTTGCGCGAACCATATCTCTGACTCTACTGGCCATAATGGAGAAACGCGTATTCCGAACCTGAATAGCTCGGATGGAAAGGTAGATGTTGTTTCTTCCAAGGAAATGTTGTTCATATGTATTGACAACATTTTTAATATTATATGTTGTTTTGTTCTTTAAAAATATTAATAATATGTTCTTACGCTCTTGTCCAAGAGCAGGGTCATCAGTTATAGGCTATACCAGGATTATATTTATGTATTTATAAAATAAAATTGCAGAGCAAACGTTTATTCATTTAAATTCATAAGGAGACAACGGATTGACAATAATCAGTTGCGCGCGCAACTTATACAAATGACATATATGTTTATTTATGACATATGAGCGTTAATAAGTCGCATATCTAGTACAATACTGGTGTAATTCAGAAATTAAAAATTTTTGAAAATAGACTTAATAACACAATTATAAAGTAGACTTTCCAAAATATCAAATTTTTTAGTTAAGCCATTATTATAATAAGTGTGTATTCAACCGCATAAAGATAACCTTGCATTACCATTTTCAACCCCTTACAACCCTTTTTTCGCATTAAAAAGTAGCCTATGTCCTTCCTCGGCGTCTAGACTATATGGGTACCAAATTTCATTTAAATCAGTTCAGTAGTTTTGGCGTGAAAGCGAGACAGACAGACAGACAGACAGACAGACAGACAGAGTTACTTTCGCATTTATAATATTAGTAAGGATTTTACATTTGTCTTTATTTAATTTAATTTTAATTATTATTTGCACTTCTGTGACCCACATACGTTATTTGTACTATCTTGCTTTTGGTTGAGTGGAAGATATTTCTTTTAGAGATAACTCCTCCTTTGCTAACAATATTCCTTTATAGTTATTTTAATTTTATATTTAAAAGTGCAATAATCTATATCTATTATTTTGCCATCTTCTTATAAGTAATTTTTAAACACATATTATTTTCTTAAACAGTAGGTAGTATCAGTTTACTCCAGTCATAAGGTTGATCTCTGCACATTATAGATGATGAAAATAAATTTACTATAAGAAGCAATACAATTCTTGTATGTAAATACAGAGAAACATTCTATATTTACGTTTCTTAAAGCATCACGCAAATAGTGCTCCATATGATTAGTGTTCGATGTACTGCTGCAGGTATCTTAATTATACAATGTAATATATATATATATATATAATATATCACTTAATTATATTACAGGCTATATTTTGTTGTACAATATAAGTTTACACGGTTTCACATCTTGCAATATAGTTTCACTTTGTGAAACCCCGGCTTATAGTGATTACAGGTACGTACTCAGAATACGGTCGAGCAGGCGTCGTTAATCTTAGTAAAGACCTTCCTAAAATCCCGGACAAGGGCTACCTCATTACGCCTAGAAAAAGTAATAAACTCGCCTCTGGATGGACGTTAAACAAAGTGGTCAAGTAACCTTGTTAGGGGGGGGGGGGAAGGGGATTGTTAGTAATGTGGACTCATGACCCCATTACTAGCAATGTACCAGGTCAGGTTGACCTCCACGCGGTTTCCCCTGGAAACCATCGTGATAAATTCCTAGTGAATTTGTCACGATGGGCTAACTGACGTAACCTCATGTTCATCTTATCATCCTCCACTGGTGCCCCGCCAGTGTAAACCGTTAGCGCAGGCGGGTGCACCATTCCATTATCATCTATAAAAAAAACCTTGTTAGCATTAAATGTTCTCTAAAGATATATATTTTATTATTTATTTATATCACATAAAATTGTGAAAACCACCCCAGTGCTCTAAGTCAACCTCACCTGCTCACGGTACATCCTGTTAAATAACAAACGAGACTCTGATGACCGATAAATGACGGTATACCCATTCTATCTACACAGTTTCAAATCCCATAGACTGATGATGGGCAGCAGTGTCATCGGTGTGAGAAACTGTGTACTGCGATCGGCAACCCGCATGCCCAGCTTGGCGATTATGGGCACATTCCTCCCATGACAGGTCCTACACGACCATGGCCCCTAGTTCCTGGTCGCTCTGCTATTCCTGGCCACGGCAGCGGTCTTGGTAACGGCAGAGCAAGGGGTGCTAAGAATCCCCGGGCTACGGTAGGCCGCCAATACCCATTGACCCACGCTACGTATAATGCACGCACACTGCACTTAATGAACACCTTGCGCAACTAGAAGAAGAACTGAAATACATAAGATGGCATATTCTGTAGCTTTTTAATAATATGTAGTTGTAGTAATTAATGGTTATTTAATCAAAGTGCAAAAGTAAACAGAACTTACTTATACTTAACTCTACATAAGTGTACTTATTCGTAACTACTGTTTGACGGTTCACATTGGTCTTCCCGAGTCAACATGTGACCCACGAAAGTTTCAAAATTTCCAAACTATTTCATATACTTATTGCTAAGGGGGACGACACTATAACTCTGGAATCTGACCATCTTATGACGTTTTTGGTCCATAAATGGACCAAAAACCCGACAGTATTGTGGAAATCTCCAGTGCGTCGAATATTAAAACTAACTGTATCTGGTATTAAAGCTATACTAAGAGGTATAGCCTTAAAGTTGTGCAAGTTTACGCACCGACATCGGCATACTCGGGTGATGAAGTAGACAGTATGTAAGAAGACATATCGAAGGTCTTACATAATACCTCAAAGGCATTCTACAACGTTGTCATGGGAGATTTTAATGCTAAAGTGGGAATCCAAACCGGCAGCGAATCGACAGCTATGAGACCACGAGCATGGGTTTTGGTAGTAGGAATCATAGGAAGTAAATGCTCGTCAACTTTCAAGAGAAAGAGGATGAATTCTTTCTTCAAAAATAACTTGAAGAAAAATTCATCAAGATATTTTTTTACTAACAATTTATCTGAATTTAGATTTTGAAATTTGTTTCTTATGAAGGTGACCTTCATAATGTTTGTTTGTATCACCTTGTTTGTGCCCGAATCACCGGCACCTGGTCCGACTGTAAGGATTACGAGGGGAGAATTTATATAAAAACAAACAAATATTTCATACTCCCCATTTAAGCTGTCATTAGAACCGGGTTTTTATATAATACTAGCTGTTCCCGCGGCTTAGTCCACGTGGAATTTAACTTTATTTTTCTGAAATAAAAGATTTTGCTGAAATAAAGGTAGTCTAAGTTACTCCTTATTATATCAGCTGCCTGCCAAAAAAAGTCCCGTCAAAATCGGTCCAGGCATTTTAGAGATGAGCTGGAACAAAGAGACAGACAGACAAAAATTAAAAAAAAAATATTTTGGTGTATGTATCCTTATTTATATTCATATGCTTGTAGTGAAAAACGGTTATTCAATATATAATATATAATTATAGACCACTAGTGACCGCGAATTCGGACGCGTCTTTTATACTTCGCTATTTATTGATGGTAATGAAAAGTAGTTTTCCGAACTATATGGTACGAAAAGGAATAAAAAATTAAAAAAGAAGAAAGATAAGAACAGCTCTGGTTACTAGACAACTGATAAAAGTACTTACATTTTTTTTAAATATATAATGTACATAGAAAACACCAAGACGAGGAATCGAAAACGAATGAGAGACACATACTATGTATAATATTTAAATAAATATATGTACTTACTTATTTATAGCCAATATGATAAAAAAATACAAATTACTTACTTTCATTATTGAAATAAAGTAATCTTGATGTAAATAACTTTTCATTTTCCATTGAAAATTCCAACAAAAGGTTCTATTTCACTCTGGGGTACCACTAAAAGATTTGTATCCAAGATTACAAGCCTCCCAGGTGTTGTTATCGACACTTCACGGAGATTCCGAGCGAAAGAAAACCGCACGAAACTGATTCTGAAGAAACGGTCAGGGTCTCTCTATATATTTATGGAGATAATAGTGTTTCCCGCAGTTTTACATGTTGTAAGGAGTTAGCTTATGTTATGTTTGTAGAAAAACAAACAGTCTGATATATAGACATACATGCACATGTATGCCTATCATATATGTCAGTTTTACATAACTTATGTTATGTTTGTAGAAAAACAAACAGTCTGATATATAGACATACATGCACATAGATACTCTTGCCTATCTATGAATAGTGTTTCCCGCAGTTTTACATGTTGTAAGGAGTTAGCTTATGTTATATTTGTAGAAAAACAAATGTATGTATGTCTATACATAATACTCTTGCCTATCGCTGTGTGACATGTCTAGTGTTATCAGATATATATTATTATTTATTAAGAACTGTGCTTAGTTTGGGACTAGATGACGCTGCGTGACATGTTTAGTGTTATTATTATTATTTATTAAGAACCGGATCTTAATTACATTATAGTAAAATATTTTTTTCATATATTATAGAATTAAGAAAAATATTTATTTATCCTATATAGCCCTATGGACCATATACACACAAGAGTTTTATCATTACTTAGTATAAAACAAAGTAGCTGTCACTGTCTGTCCATCTCTATATACATATATATAGCTTAAATCTTTAAAACTGCGCAACGGATTTTGATGCGGTTCTTTTTAACAGATAGAGTGATTCAAGAGGAAGGTTTATATATATAATACATGTACACCCGTGCAAAGCCGGGGCGAGTAGCTGGTTTATAATATTTGTAAGCTTGCAACAATATATGTAGTCCGTATTTTTTTTTTTATTCAATTTATTAAATGTCATTTCATCGCGACGTGTCGACGAGGCATCATTAGTCATTGAATTATGTGTGAATATTTGGATATAGCTTGGAAGCGTAGTGTTGACTGTTCACTAGCGTTGCAGACGTCCCATATTTCTCGTGACGTCCCGTATTTTAGGCTTAGTTTAAAATGTCATGTGTTTTACGCTTAGTTTAAAAAGACATGTGTTTTCGAATCATGCTCCGTTTTTTATTATTAAATCGATCGATCTATACTAGACAATTTGTCTTTTGATAATTTGTCCCGAGTAAAAAACTAAATATCAGTATTTTTTTGCCCATTTCAGCATTTGCTCCTTATAGCCTAAAAAAAATTTGGCAACTTGTTCACCCACCAAACTGCGACTGCTACATGGTCAGGTTTCCGCACTGAATTCTTGTGGTCTCACACAAAGGTTAGGAGAATGTCTAATATATAAAATTCTCGTGTCACAGGTTTCGTGTTTATATTCCTCCGAAACGGCTTGACCGATTTTGATGAAATTTTACATGTATATTCAGTAGGTCTGAGAATAGGTTTTATACTCCTAGGTGTTAATGATGGCCCCAAAAAACTTTTTACATTTTTCGACAATTATTTTTATTTTTTATAATGTTGCATTGCACTACACCAGGCGTCTGAGCGCAACCGATGGCGACAGCTGGTCGACAGGATAATGTAGAGTTGCGATCCTCAGCAGTGAGGGAACGATTTAGAAGAGATAATATTGCATTTGAAAATACATACGTACGACCCTAAACTTTCACCGTTCTATCACCAACCCTTATTTTTTTATAGCAATTTTAATTTATATGGCAAAATAACGTCTGCCGGGTCAGCTAGTATAACTATATATATGTAAATAGGTATGTACTGTTTTATAGATACAGATAGTATTACAGCAAATATTGCAAGCGTGCTATGACCGTAATTGACCCTGCTGACACGTACCTCATATTACGAGTACTTGGAGACATTATAACGTAACTGTTGCAATCGTTCTTATCACGAACGCTTGTAATTTGTTGCATCAATACTTTCGTAAAAGAAAGCATACAACTGATATGAGTGTTAGGGGAAAGAGGATTGTTTGTAATGTGGATTAATAACCCTATTGCTAGCAATATACCAGGTTGACCTCCACCAGGTTCCCCCTGGAAACCATCGTGATAAATTTCTTGAATTTGTTACGATGGGATAACTGATCTGATCTCATACTCATCATCCTCTATGTAAATTAATATCATTAAAAACAGGGTTTGATTATAAATGAGTGAAAATTTGAAGTTATATGTATTTTTCAATGCTAAGTAAAACTAAATTTCAGTGCTCAAAATAAACTAAAAAATGAAAAAAATATGTTAGAGGTGGACAACCCTTATCACGTAGGGGTATGAAAAATAGATAGTGCCCGATTCTCGGACCTACTGAATATGCCTATAAAATTTCATAAAAATCGGTCAATCCGTTTAGACAAGAAATGTTTTCTATCCTTATTATCCTATTTTATCCTTATTTTCGTTTTATTTTTCGACCTTTACAATACGTCGCTTATTTGCTCAACGTATGTCCGTCTACGGTGTTTCGTTATTCCCCATTAATCCATTAATTTTATACATATATAATTATTTATTTATTTATTCTTCATTGCACTATAAATATGTGTACAATTTGCGAAATTACTGCCATATGGCATTCTAAACCTGCTAAACAGTGGGTAAATTTGTTCATGAGCAGTGATAGGAAAGGTAATTTAGGTAAATAGATCAACAATAATATATATGTATATAAATACTTATAATCAGGCAACTAATATATTTTTTACTCGTCACAAAAATTGTAATTACGCGCGAAAAGTTTTAAGAAGTGGCCAGGTACTAGTAATTTAGCCACCAAAATATTCGAAAATATAAAATTTCGAATAACGAATTCTTTTGTCAATTATAGGATAACGTTGATAATTCTGAATACGAATTTTAATATACTTTTTCTTTTTTTAAAATTTAATTTAAAAAGAAAATATTATGGATACCAAAGACATTATAAAAATTCTTATATGAAAGTATCACAAGCTATTCTTACAGGATAAATCTCCAGGGAACTTAACCGGGGTATAATTCTATTCTACGTCCTATGAAAAATGCTATTAAAAGTCTAATATTACAGAGTGCCGTAGTACATTCTTGTTTTAATATATTGTAAGAAAGTTTCAATTCATGTTCTTATCCGAAATTGCGCTACTTTCTATAAAATATTTGGTAGTTATGGGCAGTTGATAGTGTGTAGGTTTTCATAATTTTATTTAAGTAAAACTTTCTCTATTATTTTAATTTAAACCTCAAACCATATTATTTAAAAAATATAACGTTTTTTTTAATCATAGAGGCAACAAAAAGAAAAATTAAAACTGAAGTAAGTTTCGTGTTTGCTCGTTGCTCAATTCGGTGTATATTATTAATAATACTGCAGATGTATTATTTATGACTTTTATTATATATGGTTATATTACTTATATTTAACACGACAACTCTTTGTTACATGACTCGACTCGACACACAGACAGACCATAGACCAAGTAATTAATCATAACCATAGACACATATTTTTATGGCTCTGAATACACAACACTCTCCCCTTACAAATTAAGTTTAACAGGTGGACGTACCACACGAGCTGATCTACGTGGCAAACCACTTACAATTGGATTTTGAACTTCCACAGATGGAGTACTTTCTCTATTAGTTACATATTCCGATTGTGAACTCACTACTGGCTCACATACCCTATCTTGAATCTCTGAAGGAGATCCGAAAGATACATTTGTAGTTTGTTGACATACATTAGGAACTAAATCTACATTTGGTGTTCTCTCATGAAACATTTTTGTTAAAGAAGATGATAATGGAGCATAACTAATCTGGTTTATATGTACTTTCTTCAAAATGCCATTTATGGATACAATAAATAGAACAGGACTTAAAACTTTAACAATTATGCCTTTTGTAGGATACATTTTTCCAATCCTAACAAGAACAGTCTCGTTTTCTTTAAAAACAGAGTATGTAGGTAATTGTTTAATTAACACAGGATTATTTTTTGGATTTAACATACTTAACAATGTCCTAGGTACATATGAAAATAACATAGTATTAGGTGACTTTTGATTTACAGTTGTTGGTGTATTGCGATAATTACATAAAAATTTTGACAAACTAATGAAAATATTACTATCATTTCCAGAAATAACAATTTTTCTAATGCCTTCTTTACAATTTGAACATTCCTTTCAGCTAACCCATTGCTTTCAGGATGATATGGTGGTGACTTTGTAACTTTAATGTTTAATGAAGTACAAAAATCTATAAATTCTTTTGAATCAAATGGAGGGCCATTGTCAGACACAATTTGACATGGTAACCCCATCACAGCAAATATATCATACATTACTTTAATTACATGACTTGCATCACAGTGTTTCATCAACTTAACATCAATCCACTTTGAATAAGAATCACAATATATGAAAAAATGAAAATTACTAAATTGAAAAAAATCTATGTGGACCCTCTCAAAAGGACTACCACTCTGTGGCCAAGGCATTTTTAGATTATTAGGTTTAAAATTTACAATAGCACATGGCTCACAGGATTGACATGCATTTTCAATGTCAGTACACATGTTTGGCCACCAGAACAATGACCTTGCTAACATCTTAGTTCTTACTACTCCTGGATGTCCCTCATGTAACATTAATAAAACTTTTGCTTGATATTTGTGAGGTATAATTACTCTAGAACCAAAAACTAAACATCCATTCATAATAGATATATAATGTCTTATCTTGAAATAAGGCAAAATTGCCACATCAGACATATGATTTGGCCATCCATTTTTGGTGTAATTGAAAACTTTTAACAACACTAAATCATTTATTGTTTCATTTGCAATATCAACATAACATATTGGCAACTGTGACTGTACTAAATCACAATTGTCAATCTCTAACACAACTTTATTCATTGGTAATCTTGACAATGCATCTGCATGCATTAAATACTCACTACGCTTATGTACTAAATTATAATCATAATTCTCTAAAATTAAAGACCAATGTTGCAATCTGTGTGCTGCCAATGTCGGTATACTTTTACTAGGATGCAATATATGTTTTATTGGTGCATTATCTGTGACTAATGTAAACTGACGACCCCAAAGATACTTATGAAATTTAGTAACAGCATAAATTATTGCCAATGCTTCCCTATCTAATTGAGAGTACTTTTTCTGCACTTGGGTCAATGAACATGACGCAAATGCCACTGGTTTCTCTACTGACTTATTATTTTCCTTGACAATATGACATAATACTGCTCCTAACCCAACTGGACTTGCGTCGCTGTAAACAACAATAGGTAATGTAGGGTTATAATGCATTAAAACTTGACTATTGATTAACTTTTGCTTAGACAACTCAAATATTGCTTCATGTTCATTAGTCCATGACCATTTTGACTTACTTTCTGTTAACTCTCTTAAAGGTTTAACTATTGTACTAAGATTTTCAATATAATTATGATAGAAGTTTAATAATCCTAAATAAGACCTTAACTCTTTCACATTATCTGGTCTTTTTGCTTTTACTACAGCTTCAACAAGATTTGGACTAGGTTTTCTACCCTCAGCATCAATAACATGGCCTAAATATTCAACAGACTGACAAAACCATTTGCACTTTTTAAAATTTACTTTTATATTATATTCACTTAACTTTTGTAAGACTCTCACAACTGTATTATAACAATCTTGAAAATTCAAACCTTTAATTAGGATGTCATCGATATAACATTTTGTATTATCAATCCCAGATAGCACTTGATCCATGACAGATTGAAAAATTGCTGGTGCTGAAGCTATACCATAGATTAAACGCTTAAATCTGTATAATCCCTTATGGGTATTGACTGTTAACAATGGTTGGCTCTGCTCATTTACACAAATCTGTGTATATGCATCAGACAGATCTAAAACTACAAACATCTTACCTCCTGCCATAGAGGCAAATATATTCTCAGCAGTAGGCAATGGATAATTATCAATCTTTATATTTGGATTTACTGTTCGCTTAAAATCTACACATAATCTATAAGTTCCATCACTCTTTCTTATAGGTACTAATGGTGAGGCCCACTCTGAATGTTTGACTTTATATATCTTTCCCTGTTTTTCTAATTTATCTATAGCATCAGAAATTTTTGTTATTATACTATATGGAACCTCATATGCTTTCATGAATACAGGTACATAATTTTCTTTTAATATAATGTTAGCTTCAAAAGTTTTGATACATGTATTACTTTCACTTGTAAAACAATTACTAAATTTACTTTTTAAATGCTGTACACACTGAGGAATTTTACTGACACTTATTGAATTACACAAAGTACCTCTCCAATTTGGAAATAATCGATCCAGCCAATCACGACCCATTAATGGTACAAATGACTTATTTTTATCACCACATATTACAAGTTTTAATTTATAATTACTGACCTTGACACATATTTCTCCATAAATACTGATTGGACCAGATATTCCCCCCAATTTCACTGGTGATGGACAGACAGACAAGTTTTTGAAGTACTTTTCATAATGTTCATATGATATAACAGACACTGCAGCTCCTGTATCAATTTCCATGATTAACTTCACATGTTCAACATTTATAGAGACCAACTTTGCATTATTTTTATTTAATTTATTTACTGAAACTGAATTAATGTTTAAACTATTATTCATTAACTGTTCTACAACACAATCCACCTCCTGCATGGAATTTGAAACTGACTGCCTTTGATTATCTATATATTGTGATTGATTTGACCTACCATTTGACACATATTGTACATTGTTGGAACCATACTCAACTTGATCTTGATCACTATTAACTTCATTCACTGACATTTCTCTATGAAACTTATTTCTGCATTTATACGATGTATGACCAAAACGACCACATATATAACACTTCCACTGCCGGGCTGGACATGTTAATGGACTATGAAATCTCCCACATCTGTAACATTCCTTTCCTTGATTATTCGACTGCTGATATCTGTTTCTTGTAACTAACCCTGTATTTGCACCTTTATTCATATGGCCTTGACTTCCTGACTGATTGTAATACACCTGCTTTGGCTGTACTTGACTTCTTGACTGACTATAACCTCTTGACTGAAAATTCCTTGTATGACTTTTTGACCGACTGTTATTTCTTTTAATGAAATTAACATCTGTATTCTCGTTTTTTAATTGAATTAATTGATTTTGTATTACTTCCTCCTGCATTATTATATCTTTTAGCTGACTGAATGTTGGTTGGTTTACTGCCAATAATTTTCTTCTAATATTATCATTTTTTACACCTGCTATTAATTGTGAACACAAAGCTTGCTCCTGATACGACCCAAAATTACATTTTGACGCCATTTTGATTAAACTTGTGATGTATTCGTCACACGTTTCACCTTCTTTTTGCATACTTTTATGGAACAGAAATCTATTTGTGGACTCTAATCCCACAGCATCATATTTATTCACTAATATATGTTCTAATTGAGCGAAGGATTTATCCTTAGGCTTTTGGGGTTGTATTTAAGACGCCATAATGTCTGGCTCCTATGCTTGTTAACAGAAGTGCTTTCTTTGTGATATCGTTTGTAATATTGTTTAAAATACAATATTGTTCAAATATATCAAACCAACTGCTACAGGATAACGTATCTTCATCGAACGGTTGAACCGATCCAGTAAATTTCGACTCTTTTTCAGACATCTTGACTATACAATATTTTGACTTACTTTTCTTTATCCTCGTCGCCAATTTCGTGTTTGCTCGTTGCTCAATTCGGTGTATATTATTAATAATACTGCAGATGTATTATTTATGACTTTTATTATATATGGTTATATTACTTATATTTAACACGACAACTCTTTGTTACATGACTCGACTCGACACACAGACAGACCATAGACCAAGTAATTAATCATAACCATAGACACATATTTTTATGGCTCTGAATACACAACAGTAAGTATCTTCTTTTTGAAACGATTTTAATTTGACTTAAACAAAGAAGCATCAACAGTGTTAGAAGTTGTAGATTTAAAAATAAAATTAAAAAGAAAACAAATATATTTCATGAAAATAACATATTTCATAATTAAAAACAATATTATGATGATTGACTTTCGCTATCAGATGATGCGGTTGTGATAGTCAAGGATATTGGTGGCACGTATGACATGACTCCGTTGTCGCATCCAACGCCGCCGCTATAGTATCCATATCCGCAGTTACCTCCACATCTGCCCCCACATCCGCATCCGCCTCCGTTGCCACATCCACCGCTGTTCCCGCCAAACAGACCACCTCCTTTAGAAGCTATTAGGAGGAGATACAGTAGATCCATATTATTGTTAGAACTACCATCATCCAATATAATAACTTGTGGTGGTTGGTTTTGATAATTCGGAAGATTCATGGGTGGAGATGGGAAGCAAGGTGGCGGTGGAAATGAACATGGCGGTGAAGGGAATGGCATAGGTACTTGGAATTGGGATACAGTTTGGGCCGTAGGTTCGATAACAGCTGGTAAAATCAACTGGCCGATTTGTGAAGGTGTATTAGCTATTGGTACGGATGTGGAGGTTACTGGAGCATATTGGCAGTTCGCTTTGAAAATCTGAAAAGATAAATATTAATTAATTATTTAATTAACCTATATAATGACATTATTCGTCTAAATATTACACATATAAATTAATAATAATATTATCAACTCTAGTACAAATCATGTTTTCATGAAGAAATAGGAACTCCTTTTTTCTTCTTCTAATTCTTCATGAAAATAGTACTGGTACTAAAGAGTACAAGTAACCTGTATGTAAAATTTTGTATTTAATATAATTTTAAATCTTTATTCATGAATTATTTTTTCTATAGAAGTATATTTCCTTGACTTAGCTTAATTTTATGACAATGGTCTAAGCTGTTAATATTTAAACCGTTACAAACAAACTCCGTTTTGCTTTTACATTGTTAGTATGTACTCTAAGTAATAATGTAAAAGAATATGGATTTTGTTTGTCAGATTTGTGTGATTATAAAATAATTATTTTAGAGGTATACATTTTCTTATCTTTACATTACATACATAATCACAATTTAAAAATTTAATGAATTTTAGAATGATATGTAACTTATTTTATCGTAAATAACTTATTTTCTCGCTAATAATAACTTTTTTCGCTAATTATATTTACATTAATTTAAAGTTAGTTCTAAAAATACTGATCTGGAGAAAAATTAATCTATACGTAAGTTTAGTATTTTCAGACTAAAAAAATAAATTCAATAATTTCGTCTATGCATTCGTAATAGTTATAAATAATTGAACAACTGATTTTAATAAAACAATAATTTACCTGCAAAACGAACAGAAATGCGGAAAATATTCTCAATCGTCGATTAACCATTGTGTTGAATCAGCAACTTAGGTATTCACTAATTATTCAGTGTTTATATATTATTTATTACAAAACAATTCGGTTACTGGGTAATTTATGATGTAAAACATTATCAATTTGAATACAATCACGTGCCACTTTGATAAAAGTTACGTATACCAACTGCAAAATATGAGTGTAATAATATTGTGTAGTTGTTGCAAAGTAACCTGTTAGGACAGAGACAAAGGTACACTTTGTATAAAGTCGTCTAAGTAGGTACCTCTGTCTCACCTCTTTGAATCGTCAATTCTTAATAGAAGTAGACTTTATTTAAAGTTGAGGGCGTCTGCGTGCCTCTCCTATAACAATCAATTATTTTTCAGATTTTCACTTTGTTTCATAGTGAATTGGTTCAGTTTCTTCAGTATTCCACCTGGATTTTGAGGAGTTGATGATTGTTATTGTCTTAAAAGTTTAAGATCCGGTTAATATAAATTATTTTTATCGTAATTTACTCTACTCAAATTAACGTACATTTTTTTACCGACTGGCACTAATTACTACTGTGAAACTTGCCAAGTAATATCTAGATTACCGTTAACATTTTGCTGGGATTAATTCTTCAGTGAAACTGTACGATAAAGGCGAATATATGATGATGAGATCATTTTACTCCAGCATTTATTAAGCATGTTATATCAGTCTTAAAGAGTAATAGTGGTAAAATGGAATTACTTTTGGCTGTATATCGTATTCATTTCGCCTGAATTTTAAGACAACTCTTTTATAATATAACCTAAAGAGTTCGAATATTGTGTAGTGAAAGATTACATTTTTTTTTAATATGGCATGATTTTTTAATAATTTCTGGTCCAGTTTTCCTGCGCGTGAGAATGCTTGACGGATTAAATAATAAACTATATATTTGTTATAAATAATAAATAAAATATAATTTATGCAAAATAATCATCATTACATAGTATGAAACAAAGCCGCTGTCGCTGTCTGTCCGTCCCTAAGTATGCTTAAATCTTTAAAACTACGCAACGGAATTTGAAGCGGTTTTTTTAATAGATAGAGTGATTCTAGAGGATGGTTTATATATATAATACATGTACACCCGTGCGAAGCCGGGGAGAGTAGGTCGTAAATTATAAACGTAATAGTTACGAAGACGTTACAAAGCGAAAACTAACCTCCTGGAACGGAACGCTCGTGTGGATTTCTATTAAAAAACATTAAAAAATCCTATAATTTGAAGTGAACTATATATGTCTTCGTAAGTGTTTAAGTATTAAGTGTATTTCATATACATAAGTAATTAATTAAAAAGGTCCCGAAAAATCGTTCCAGCCATTTCAGAGATTAGCGGGAACAAACAGACATACAGACAGATAAAAACTGAAAAAAAAAAATGTTATTTTGATATATGTGTGTGTATTATATATTAATGTATTTATATTCATATGCATGTAGTAAAAAACGGTTATTTTAGTATTACAAACAGAGACTACAATTTTATTTATATTTACAGATAAATATACAGCCTATATCACTCTGGAATGACGTGCCGAAACGGTGAAAGAATTTCTCAAATGGGTGCAATAATTTCGTATTTTATTTTCCTAATAACAAATTCCCATTTCCTTATAACATTAGTACAGATACAGTAGCAGATTCTTTCCTCATCTAGATATTAATATTTAACAAGTTCTCGTACACAATATGTACTGAAAAAGACCAAAAAGTTAACTGCATCGGCCGGGAATCGAACCCGGGCCGCCCGCGTGGCAGGCGAGCATTCTACCACTGAACCACCGATGCTGATAAAGGTATTATAAAATATAGTGTTCGCTTAGAACGTGATATTTTAGAAAGGTGATGTTATTAGTGAAGATGCGCATACGCAACATAAAGTGTAATTTGCGCCTTGACCTCGCGGCCTCATTATATAGAAAAAAAACTACATACACTCATCTCATGATATAAAGAATGTATTACATTACAAGAATGTATTACGTTATGCAAGAATCAATACTTTCATGCTATTTTACTGGGGTATACTTTATATAAATATATTTAATCGAATTAGGTGTTATTTTGCGGAATTACATTTTACTACTTAATACTACAAATTAATTTATTTGTTTTATTTTGTTTAATTCCACTACTATTATGAGTGAGACCACAAACATTTTTCAACCTGGCCAGACTTATTTATTGATTTATTCAATTAAAATAATATAACCTTACAGTTTACACGTATAGGTACATTTTGTATTTTAAAACTATGTACTGAACTATATATACTATTTAACTATGTAAAGATAGGTACATTCTAATTTTATTTATTATAGAAAGCAAGGCTCTCGTATACACTCAGCATTTTGGACACATGTCAAAAATAAAAATAAATACTTTTTTTCTTTCTGTCAACGCAGTCTATCATTTATTATTAATTTTATTGATTAAATGCCTTATAATTCGATCACAGTGAGAAACACAAACAATTTTGTAGTAATATTTGACATCACCAACAATCTCTTCCCCAATATTTATTTTTAATTACAATATTGGGGAAGAGATTGTTGGTGATGTGGACTAATAACCCCATTACTAAGAATGTACCATGTCGACCTCTACGCGGTTCCTATCCTGATAAATTACTCTTGAATTTGATACGATGGGCTAACTAATATGGTCTTTCTTTTCATCCTCCACTGGTGCCCCATCAGCGTAAACCGTTAGCGCAGGCGGGAGTACCATTCCAGGTGATTTTTTTACTATGGTCTAACTAACCTGCTCTCATGCACCTATCATCCTTCACTGGTGCCCCGGCAGCCTAAATAGAGTAATCGGGAACACCGTTTCATTATTATTCCAAATGAGTGGTAGAATCAAAATATGACTATTCAAAAGTGCTTGTAATGAGTTTATTTGAATAAAGATTATTTCTATTTCTATTTCTATTATTATCCATTAAAAAGAATAAAAAAATTTTGAATAAATAAAAATAAAATTTGAGTTCGCCACTATAAACTGATCATCATTTCGTCCCATTCTACTAGTGCCCCGCCACATATAGCGGATTTACGATACTCTAAAGCGGGTTTAACAAACCATAGTGTTATGATCTACTAAATATAATAAAAATATTTTTTTTGTCAAAAATCCAACCCGCGAACTAGAACACGAGGCGCATTGAAACGCTATATCATCAACGAAATCATTAAAAATAATTATACTTATGGTATAAATAAATCTATTTGATTTATTTTGTAACCGTATTATAATGTTATATTGCACATAAGATCATCATTGACTTGCGAATAATCACGTTTAGATGAAGCCTCTTTTCCTAACATTTTCGTAAGCATCGGTGGTTCAGTGGTAGAATGCTCGCCTGCCACGCGGGCGGCCCGGGTTCGATTCCCGGCCGATGCAATTTTTTTTATGTTGATTTTTTACGTACATATTTTGTAGTAGCTCAAATATCGGTGAGATTTAAACATTATTAAGAATTTATACTTCATCTACTTCAAAGTTGTTGTTGTTAAAATATTTGCCTGAAAAGACTAGTTTTTGCAAACTCTTTGCACATTTTTATATATTTATTTCTTACAGTTTTTAAAATTTACATTTATTTATTGTCACTTAGTATTTACCATTTTCTATCCATTGTTTGTTTAATATCACATTCCAGTCCATTAATTCTGTCGCTCACACTATTATTGGTCTATTATTTATTATTTGTTTAAATAATAACAAGAAAAATTGACTACAACTTAATCAGTTACAAAAGATTAGTCATATAGTAATTGAACTATGTTTTACAATGGTTGGCACTACATTTAGGCTAAAAAGACCAAAAAGTATTACATTTTGGTCCTTAGCATGGGAGTATAATTTATTCATAAAAATAGTACAACAATAAACTTATTGCACGTAATTTGTAGAACCCTAATGTTATTTCTTGCTCAATAAATACGAGGGTAGCAGCTATAAAACACAACGGCGGACGGGGTTTTGAGATAAACGATCTGTACCCGTCTATGTGGCAACATTTGTTCTTAGATTTCTACTTTATTACAAGTACATTTTATATAATACTTACTAGCTGTGCTCGCGGTTTCACCAGCGTGAACTTTATAGCTTATATCTTATTCTGATGTATAAGCTATATTGCTGTAAAGTTTCATCGAAATCCATTCAGTAGTTTTTGAGTGAAATAGTAACAAACATCTATTAATACTTACAAACTTTCACGTTTATAATATTAATTAATAAGTTACGAAAGGAATTGCTAATAATGTGACCTAATTACTCCATCGCTAGCAATGTACCAAGTAAGACCTGCATGCGGTTCCCTTGGAAATCATCATGATAAATTTTTTGGTATATTTGTCACAATGGGCTAACTGACTGAACCTCATGTTCATCTTATCTTCCTCCACTGATACCCGCTAGCGTAAACCATTAGTGTAGGCGGATGCACCATTCCATTATCATCCATAAAACTATATATACTTACTTATGTACATAGGGCTAATCATTATACATTACTGATGCAAAGTATTTTTTTTATTATATGATCACGTGATGCGATCTGCGTGGTCACGTGATCGATTTACTATCAAGAATTAAAAAAAATATCAGATTACCTACTTGGTTTTTTTGTAAAAATAGTAAAGTTTTTTGTTTCTAATACAGTCTGGCTTTCAGATTCTCATATATTCTTATGAAAATCATGTTAAACACTTTTTTAATCTGGTTAATGAAAAGAGAGTTCTTAATTTCGTATAATATTTTTTCTCTGACCGATATCGTCGTCTTTATTTACATAATTTAGAAAGGAGAATATTCTTAATGTGGTATCCACGTTTAATACTCACTACATATAGTTGTTCCCAATGTGAAATACTACTCAAATAAGACGTATACTCCATATTGGACGTATGTCTTCATCTAAAAGTCTTCGGTCACGTACCAGGTCAATCGTCTCATTACAACGTTGTGGTCTGCGTGAC